CGCCAGCACCGAAACCACCCCTCCGAAGTAGCACAAAGTTCGTAAGAAAAGAAACCGAGATGTGCGGGTCAGTTCGTTGTACTTAAATATATTGAATTTTGTCTACAGGTTTGGATTGTAGAATCAATTCTGAAGCTTTTTCTTTTCAGTTTTTATCTAGATGGATGCTGTCATTTAGTCTGCTTGTTTAAAAAATAAACCCTGATAAAGCAGTTAGTGGCCGAAATCTATAACATGGTGTAAGAAACATCTAAGCCATAACTGACAGTTTTTGCAATAGCCACCGTGTTTTTCTTTGCCTTCATAATAATGACAGTTTTTTTTATTTGTTTAATTAGCGTAATTGTACCGCACAGCTTGTAATAACCGTGTAACCACCGTGTCCTGTGTGTAAATTATTTTTTACGGTCAAAATAATGGTTTCGATACATTGGTTACTTCCTTGTACCGCTAGCATAGTAACAGCTATAGGCCAAGCTTGCCTTGTTAAGAAAATACTTCTTCTTTTTTATATGTCTAAATGTAAAAGTGGTCGCTCTAATAACAAGACAAGCAAGAAGCTATCTAGAGCTCAAAACTATATACCGCGATAGTTTTCATGTCACAGATGCGGCCTATACATGGCTCAGATAAAATGATTTTCCTTGTGACTGCGTATTGAAGAATATCAATGCTAAAGAGCAACAACTTTCCAGGGGGGCAGGGGCAGGGGGAGGGGAGGGGAGGGGGGGGGTAATCGTAAATCGTAGAACGAAAGGCCTTCGGTGGCCAGAGTTGTTCCTTGTAAAGGAACTCTCATCAAGTAGCGCTCCTCTTTCGCATCGTAACTGGCTGGTTCTATATAGGTTTCTGTATGTATATTCACTAAACATCCTGGCAGCAATCTTAAACCTAGACAATTAACACGGATTTTCGATGTCCCGATTTTTCAAGTATCAACAAATACGAACATTCTGAGTTATCAGAGCCAGCTGTCAACTATCACGCAGAGATACAGACCAATTCTGTTGTAAGCCTGCTTCTTCTATCATAGAAGCAGATAGATTACAGAAAGCTTCCATTCGGTCCAACAAAGCATAAATATTTCACGGTAGTCGAAGAGAAGTAATTTATGATGAACACGGGTTGTGTTATAATTGAGTGCGTGATAAATACTCAATTCGGTACAAAATTGTGTGCTTTTTTTCGTTTTACCCACGTATCTGGCTACGAACTCTATCTGAGTAGGGCTGAAGTATAGATTCCCCAATTACGTGACGCTATGAGAAGACTGATTCACGTCCGTTACGAGACTACTATAGCTTGTGTTACTAGTGAGTGAAAAATGCACCGCAAAATTTTAATTTTTCAACATTGTAGTATAGTAGCATTATCGTGGTTTATATATTTGAAGATAAACCGTTTTATTCATATTCAATAAAAATCAATTGCTTTCTTTATTCAGGTATATCGTGGAGCCGTATGGATATGTCGCTCGTGCAAACTATATTTGCCTAATAAAACTCTGGCAAAATCGAGCCAGCAAATACTCGTAGGCCTAAATGAACCCACTGACTAGTACGGATGGCCGTACCATTTGACACTACCAGGCCTAGTTGATTAAAAGCAGAGTAGTCTCGTATTTGTCGATCGTTTTCGTTGTCAAAGTGTGATTCTACTTCAAAGTCTGTTTACGCCTTTAGCAATCCGAGCTCTCGATGTCCGGACTCAGTTCTTCGAAATGATGACTGGGCATTCGATCGAGTCTATGTCGTCGAGTCATGTTGATGTCTTGCTAGCAGGAGTCGAAGCGAAGATGGGGAAGTTAGCTAGCACCATGCGTTGACATTACTAGTATGGCATTACACGGTTAAGGCACTACCCATGGATAAGATATTTCCCAAAATATTGAATTTTATCATTACGCAGTGTTACGCCGACAATGATATGGGAAGTACTTAAAATTCGTGGTGCTGGATTTTCAGGCAATACTCAAGCGAACTTCGCATCAGTATGCCGCAGCTGCTACTTCGTCTCACTTATAACGCATTTAATCTTGTTGCTGGCAGGTTTCAGAGCTGGCGAAGAAACCGTCTTGAAGATCTAGATACAAACGACAGGGGTCGTTTAAGCAGATCAACAGCGTTCTTCACCGTACTATATTGGATCTTACCCAACAGTTTTAAGTCCAACGCCAATAGAAACAAGAAATAGCCAATAGGTTTACTTTTCCCACGCTTCTACACACATAATATATAATTATATATAGCATTGTTCTTAATTATTATATATGCAGTCCCTTTATTTATAGTACTATATATATTGATGAGGCTACGATCGATACTAACACCGCTCCAGATAGTCAGACGACAATGCAGACTAATGAGCTGTCTCTCAATGGACTAGAAGACCTATGTTCGGTATCGAAATCAATTAAAGATAACGAGCTATATTTTTTTGATTAGATAAACTTTTACAAACGATGAACAGTCAGGTGCTACTTAATTTTAGGTGATAGCATCAGTTTGTAAACGGGACTATATGTATATACCTTGAGTACGTAAGTGAACTGCTAGGGTTTCACGACAGCGGATCCTACCTCTGGGGTAGTTCCAAAAATGTTTACAGTGAAAGGAAACATGAAAACCCAGCTTTCTTACACATAGTAGAGAATTCGGGTTTCAAAATCGCAGCCTTGTGAGTTCTACAACTGAGACTACGTGTGTCTAATTACGACTTTTGACCCATCCTGTGACACAAATCAACCATTATCTTATGCACGACCTTAGTCCTTAACCGTTAACTGTGACTATCTTTTAGGTCCGGATAATCCCTTGTTACATAACCCACATAAGACAAAACTACTGTGTTTTTTAAACTTAAAAACTGGGCATGATCTTAAATTTCAACTTTAGATTTTTGGGTCCGAGCGGGGCTTTGATTAATGATAGAGTTTTTATTCGTCAATTAAATCTTCCTCAGTGAATATCACGTTATAAGGTTTATCACGACGTTTGCTATTTGGTTGTGAAGGGAGAGTATGTTTCGAAATAGTTTTAAGCTGATCATTTTGTAAGCAAACACTTAACGCAGAAACGAGCATGTTTATATGAGCGCATCGTATGGCGTACTTTGACAAGACATCTATGTTATGAACCAGAAACTACTTAAACATGTCTAGATGTGTTTGAGTTTCGTTCTTCATGATAATGTTACCCATAAAGATTCTATCTGTGCCTCGTTCGATGTTGGTTGAGTATCGGTATCTTTAACTTACCACTGAAGATAAGTGATTTCTATACTTTTGCGTTCTTGTTGTTGATAATATGAAGTTAACTGCGCTAGAAAATCTCCTCATACCAAAAAATCATCAAAAGTTCCCTCATAAAACTGATACTATGTAATCATTATAGATATAACTGGGCCATATAGAGATATCGTTCCAGGTGTCTTGACTACAGTTTTCCATCATTAAACCTAGAAAAGGAAGCGGTCATCAGTCTTTTTTTTTTTTTTTTTTTCGACTCCATTTCGACGTTTGATCACTCGTCATTTTCGACACAATGAGCCGTACGCTGCAAGATTTTTGGCAACGGATGTTTTCTTTTATTTGTATTTATAACTAATCTTCCTCCCAAGATTACTGACAATTTTCTTATCTGTTTTGTCGCTCATATGTACATATATATATATATAAAAGCGTATAGTGGCTTTAGAGTTAGGACTGACATAGTTTTGACGTAGGTAATTTGATTCATGTTAACCCGATCAATAAATTTTTCCTGCTGCTTTAGATTTCCCCTGATGCGATGTATGCTTTCTCTATTGTATAGATCATTGATCGCTACTACCTACGTCCAGAGTCCTCGAATGCGCGAAACTGTGCCCTGTATATACGTTCTTCGAAGCAGTTTTTCTAACTGCATAACACTAAAAAAACAAGTTATTTTTTTCATCTGTTCAGATGACCATATGCACTGATAATTATCGTGTAAGATTGATTCTGATGCTTTTCAACTTGTTCTTCTTTTTTTTTTTTTTTGTTTGTTTACAACCGACACAATACCAAATCAATTGAATGTGTTTAGAATATCATATGTGAGAAAAGAACAGTTATATCTTTTGGATGAAAATGAAACTCAATCTATGTCTATTAAAATCACCCTGTTTAACCTTTTCGGAGTATTTCAAAATTTACAAGAGTACAAAAAAAAAAAAAGAATTTAAAAATGTTTTTTTTTTTGACAACAAAGGGATGTATTACCAAACTGGGCGTATCGCACATGAAGTATGTACGTCTGAGTCTACCCAAACCCAGATTTAAGTACATACCGTAGACGTCTCATATATGTAACGATGCGCATCGATTTTCATGGTTTAAACGAATCGATTTTTATTGTTCAACTATTGGCCATATAAACAAAACCATTTCGCCAATAAACTTAACGTAACCTCTCTGATCGAATAAATAACCGACCTTACCCACCTGCGGTCAGACGCTTTGTGCTTCCTCAGTTGAACCCTGAACAAATCCGTCAGTTTAACTAGCACGCTTTATAACCCAGTTAGCAGTAGGCACACTTGTCGTACTATCAGCCGTAACGTTACTACCGCAACTTCGTTGGAAATACGGATCATTCGGAAAATACCACGAAATATCGTGCGGTTGAATGGTCCTTCATCGCTATGCAGTAAAGTCCGTCACGATTCCAACTGTAGTGTCACTCTTTTAGCCGCGTCAAACATTTAACGAACAAATACACTGCTTTGTTCTTCTGGTTATGTCTTTTCCACATTTTTACTTTAGTTCGTTGTCATTTTTCTTTTGGCCAATCATCGTAGCCCATTGCCAGTACCGTTTCGAAAACCTTCCACTCTTTGCCCTCTTTCTACTACCAAGTTTGTTACAGGACGCGACCCATTCCCACCTGCCTCGACGCGGAGCTGAGACGGGTCATTTCGCTGAATGTCTTGCTGCTCAGCGGTCCGACGCTTGTACCAGGCAATACGATGCAGATAGGACGAAGGGAGCCAGAAGGCCCAGCGAGCTTGAAGTAACTCACGATCGCAACATAGAAGCAGTGATGGCAAAGGCAAGCGCTGGTGCGTGTGTGTGTGTGGTGGCGACACATAGCGTTTACGATAGAGAGTGGGATGGGTTTATGAAAGGACCGGGCAGATTGTCTACTCTATTCGCTTACGGGCGAATACGAGTGATTATGACCCAAGTGACGATTTAACCCGACTCACACAGGCATCAGAAACGACACCAGAACGGGAAGATTAACCATCAAGCAGTGTAGCTACCATTTGAGCCGTCCTCGTTTCAATGTTGAACTAAGTAATGGTGATGAGTGTTCTACAGGGTGAAGTAGGCGTCTCAGTACAGTTAGAGAAAAGTCATCCTGCCTGTATTCTGTTGCAAAGGCACGATAGGCAAACGAAGTTAAGCGCACGTAGACAGTATGTTAGATATCTTTCATGCATCTGCGCTTGTGGAAGATACATGGGCGGATCACTGCATGGATTAGCTCAGGACGGTGTTGTGTACGGAAAGGATCGTTTGCCATCCTACATGGTTTATAAAAGAGAAGTAGATTTTCAGATATAGTCTAGCCACTTGCCTTGCTGGATATTCAAGAACTATACTGGAGACAATTTAGTATTACGGTTTTTTGCCTGATGGGATGGTCGTAACGTTTTACGTTTTAGATGGCCTAGTGATATTAAGACGCAAACAGACGATTCAAGCAACTGTCTTAAGTTTACATTAATCTTTTTGCGTTTTTTTTTTTCAGGACGAGAAGTACGTACGAATCCGATTTACTCATGTTAGTATATATGTTAAGAGCAGCACATGCTCACCTTGATCTCTATGTTGAGATGTATCTTTACTTTTCAACTTCTACTAACTGTTACCTTCGTGCACGCTATATGTACCGCTGAGACCTAAAAATTGACTATTATTTGTTAATATTATTATATGACATTATTAATTTATCATAGCAAGCTATTTATAGCATCATTGTATAAAGGTAAATAAAGGACACAAGACAACTTGAAAGCACCTTTCTTTTTAAACGTATCGCGTCTATGTGTTATCAAGTTACTATCTGACCAAAACTGAAAGCTTTTTGTATTTGTGGAACCAAGTAGCACTCATAGAGCACTCATAATGTGTAAATGCGTATTGCAGGAAGTGGGTGAAAATAAAAAAAATACAGTTTGTTAGCCCAAGCCAGACATAGCTATCAAGTGTAATTTAAAATTAAAGTTCACCCCTTAAATCCTAAACATTGGCAATTTTTGTTTGTGATATGCTAAATTTGCTCACGTAGGAAGATTGAGACAATACTCAGTGCCATAATATGACCGATTCATGGCTAGCACATCAGTACCTGTTTTTCCTAAAAGCTTCTTACCATATGGACTCTGATATTCCTTCAGTAACGCTATACTATATATATACTATAAGTACTATACTATATGATAACGATCCATCACAAAAAACCCGTTCAGGCTTCGTAGTTGGACTGTATAGTTTTTCATTTGCGTTACCAATAAAATAACCACAAATTTATTGAAAAGTTTTTCCATTTACAAAATAATCAAAGACACAATGTTGTAGTATATGTACGAATATATCCGGATATTTCAATGATAACAGAAGGTTCTGTAATCGAATGGCGATACCTTAAGCCGTACACAAACCGGAGCGTTCGCATTACGCCAGCCATGCCAATTGAGCGAAACTCATCAATTACGGCTCAAAGGAAAAGATAGTGAGAATATAATTGTTTTAAAAATAACGCTAAGCTGTGCAAACCCCCAATTTATATGGTGGAACAAGGAGGAGTCGAACCCACCGATCTTTTGAATAGCATTGTTAGGGCCGATGAAATCTATGGAACGAGCGTAGAACAAATTGTGAGCCAAATAAATCTAAATAACAATGATGTAGAAAAACTACCTATACCGATCTTATTTAATGCGAACATTTTTCTTCACAGCCCTATTGAAATATATACATATATATTATTAAGCAAGAAGCATTTTGTTACGATGCGTTGGAAACGGTAGACTATTTGAGGCTTAAATATGAATGGGTAATGCTGATTTTATCCAATCGTTATTGATACTGCAACCTTCACCCCCTATTGGACTCGTAAGCATACTATGCAGGTTCGATCAGTTATACTGCCAATTGAGAATTTTTGATACAAAAAACCAACAAAATGTTTAATAATCTGTCTCTATGCTGTATCGTTCAGTAATTTAAAGCTAGTCCCGTAATTCCAAAGCAATACTCAACTACGGAAGGGAAAAGTTTATTATCTCGTCATGTAGAGAAAAATGATTCTATTTTGCCTACTTCGTTATTTGGCCTGCAAATAAAATTACGAACTAAAAGTACGATTGCCGAGTATGGTATGGAAGTTTTCATTAGCGTTACCTATAACTAGTTTGACATCATAATTCAGGCCTCTGGTTAATAGGACGATTTCCAACATCATAAACTGTAACTGTGATCTATTTCACCCAGCTCCTAACTAGACCTTAAAAATGAATTCCTGTAACAAAGGTTTATTTAAAGGTTTTCAAAAGCATTCAGATGTTAGTGATTCCGTCCTGATGATCAATGACCTCATATGTAAACAGCCTATTTTTCATGTATATTGCTCTCGCAAACCCTGGATAATTTCTTTAAATGTTTTATATCGCAAATTAAAACAACTTATCTTTCTTGCGTAATCCTATTTAACAAAATATACCCCTATTCAGTTCCGCTTTCGGCACAATCATCACTGGCGTGATGATTGTGTCGAAATATCTTCACCTCGTAATCATTTTTGCTGCTTAGATCTTCACGCCGCTTGACACGTCCTCACAAATTCGATCGCCTGATGATGGTGATAGACGTTGTTTATATTACTAGAATTGTTGAACGGATGCATAATGAGTACTTTATTAAGCAGTCCGTAGGGGGGGGGGGGGGGATGTTAAGTCCAATCAGTAATAATAATTGATGATTAGTAGGAGTTTCGAGTTGTATGAGGTCAGTTAATCGACAAGTAGTCACTTTCAATATCAGTGAATAGAAAATCAACGCAATACTGCTTTACAGAATAGCACCGAACGACAGGCAAAACGCACAATCATATGATAAACTTAGTCGCTTGCTCAGCTTGTTTACGGTTGAGCGTCTCTGGGTTAATTTTTCTACATGAAAATTTGGTTAGGAGATGGCGATCAGCTCGTCCAGTTATGGATACACTGTTTTAATATACATGTAAGTATTAATATAGATATTACCGGTGATCAATGTTCACAGGGATCGAAAATACGGACCTCGCAAAGCCACGCAAATCAGTGGAAGAATAACGCAGATTTAAGTGTCTAAAAATTATTTAATTTCGTTGCTTTTTCTCTATTTATGTATCCAAATAATGGCTTCTATACTAGAATAACATACTACTACTAATAACATACTAGCAACATATTATTGATATTATAAAAACGCGACAATCTTTGCCTAGATCCATATTAGATATTTAAGGTGCTAACTAAAATTAGTTGTCTTGTATGATATACTTTTTTCGAAATTATTCCTATGTTTTGTGAATCGTGAGATAACTATCGCTATCTGAACGCGTGTCCGCAGAACAAACTGATCATGTACATTGTGAATGTTTACATACGACCGTTGTACAAATTGAATTGTTGAGCCGGTGCAGAACCTCTTTGACACTCATGTATTTAACAATTTTAATTGAAATATATATTTTTATAATAGCCCTGCCCCTAATAAATATCACGATGTTTATTTCTCCACAAAACAAAATCAAACTCAAATCTCACACGCTTCTAAGTTAAATGGTAATAAAAAAGAGCCTTCTCCTAACGTCAGCTTGTATGAACGAGCTATGTCTTCTAAATGGCTCGAGATCTACTGCGGATTCAATAAAGCAATTTGAGATGCTGCTTTCAGGAGCTATTCATAATTGTCTTCAGATAATACGAAAGGGAATGCTCTTCGTATCGCAATCGTTACCGAACGATAAGTAACAGAGGCTGCGTGCGGTCGTCGATTGAAAGAGGTATTAGTTTATACACATATGCATACCTGTCAAGTAACTTTTGCCCACCCCTGTATACGTATGGGCATGAGTACACGAACCTTGTCATTTCATCACGTTACTTTATTTGGTTCCGATTTTTTCAGCTTGTCAGCGATCCCTATACGACGCTACCGGTACATGAATTCGTTTATACTGATTCCGTAAGGTGGCGCAACTGTGACCAACCCGCTCGTTACGTGGAATAATGTCTTGACTACAACTAACACGGTCTTCAATTTGATCTAACTGCCCTAAAAGCTACTTTCGATATTATTAAATGGCTACAAAGATAAATAGAAATTTAAGCCAGATGATGACTTCGTTTCGAAAGATAGGTGATCCAGAAGTTTTTTGTAATTAAACAAAATGAGACTGATAACAAGTCGAGAGGCGCTGAGATCTAAAGCTTAATAAACTCTGCAGAAAATCAGCATTGGGCTTTTTCTAATGGACTTGCCTTTGGTCGCCAAGCTATTCCAGCCCTGTAACAGCATAATTCATTCACAAGACGATCTATTTAAGAAGCCACATCTATATAACGTCGTAGCAAATATGTTTCTGAAACGTTGTTTAGATTTCAATGTTTCTTGTAATGTTTTTAGAGAATGAAAACCGCAACTGAGAAAAATGACCGCATTATCCTATTCCCAGTTCAGCTCTTTATAAAACTACATATATACGAGGTATAAATGGGAGATGCTAATGGCTATATCACGCCATCTAAGTGCTTGGGCATTCTAAAACGATCGAAACGGACGAAAAAAATCAATCGTTGTATTTTTTCCCTTTTCTGTATCCACAACAGTCGTGTTGGCCGTTTACAACGTAACAGGACAATCCTCCAATGATGTAAATAAAGGTAATTTAACTTGTAAATAAACTTTTAGTTGTAAAGAAAATGAGGAATAATTTATTACCTCCTACTGTGTTTAAGTTATTGCAAAGCATGGAAAATCGAACAGATGAAGTTAGATCATTGCTGTGTATCAACTTTTTCTACCAGCATCAAAATAAATGATAATTTTCTCTCTCCTTTACAACGGAAAGTAATTTCAATATTTCTAATGAGCTGAGATCAATTGTGACATAATATATCCTCTGTAAACTGCCAAATAACACCTAACACATAATATTAATAGCATAAGCTAAACGTATTCCCTTAGATTTTCGTAGACATAAATTTCCCTGAGATATAGCCAATTTACTCCATCAGTGAGCGATGCCATACTACTAAATCCGCCTCTGTACAAGCTTGTATTAATTTATTATGTAGAATCACATCTTAATTGTTACGGTTGTGCAATATAGTCCTTAGAGCTACATGCTGTACATGTTTCTCCACAAGGTGCGCGATACGGTTTATCTCATGGCGCCATAAACTCGATTGTTCACTGCTTTTGGTTGGACAATAGCGTAATAATTATTAGGTACATTTTCCAGTAATGGCTGCAAAAGTGTTCGTCTATGGTCGGCGTAAGGCAGGTTAGGATCAAACCATGTTTTGGTCGTGAATAAAACCCTAATTGGACTTCTCACTGTGGGCAGCGCTAAAGAAGCAAACCATTCTTCATAGAAATGTTCCAGATTCACAAAAACATTTTTAACGATTGCACTGTACGAAGAGTACACGCAACGAGCTCTTTATATAACTTTAACGATGCCGTAAATACGCTTCTCAGTCTATCACAAGATAGACAGTAAAGGTTACAAATATTTATCGCCAGCCGTGAGGTGTCTGTATATCATAGATATGAATAGCAATATTTCTGCCCATTAGGTTCTAGTCGTCCAGTCGTATTGGCCTGTGTTCGCACCGTATGGAACCAAAATTGCCAAAATAATATTTTGTTTTCTTTAAGATTTTTTCTTATAAACCAGACCTGTCACTGGAATATTTCTAGATTTTTACGTTATCATCTCTTTTATGGGTTAGGTTAAATTTTAAATGAACCTATTGCTTAGAATTTAAGGCAGCACCTGCTCAGTACTAATGTATATATATATATATATAGCTGTTGAAGGCGAATGTGACGGACTTTGATATTGCGTTACCTTAAAGCTCCGAAAGCTTAAATGATGATTGTTTATTATATGTGAGAAATACCTTTTTTTGTTTTTTGTACGCTTTATTATAAATCATGTATCTAGACTGCGTGTATTCGAGTGCGCCGTCAACGGCCCACTAGAGTCTTGAGGGGGACCGCCTTTACTCTTCGATCTTCAGCAAATATCTCATAGTGGCAGATGCTCTTGATGTCTGTTGCTTGCCATCAGCTAACGTCCAGTATACTTAATACTGCAACGAAACTCAATTTCTACTAGGACGACGCCTTCCCTGGTCTCTCTCTAGCCAGTTGTAACGATTGAATTAAGCCTCGTTTATAGTGACTGTATACTTTGGGTGGATTTTTTGCTGATAAAAGTTCTGCAGATTGCACGTGGAATACATTACACGTGTGTCTAACTGAGTTTGAGTCAATTCCCCCATTTTGTACCTAGTTGCCCCATTTCAAATGTTCGGATTATGATTTTATAAGACGCATTATTTGGCATGTAAAGATTCGCCGACCGGGCCTTTAGCTTGCGTAAAAAACGTGTTCAGTTACTTATATTCTTGAATTATCTGCACTATTCACATAGTGTGCTTAAAGGCCTTTTACCCTAATGTGTTCACCAATTTGATATACATATATATAAATATATACATATATTGAATTTTATTCACGTATCGTTGCCAGTTGTAATTAAGAACTTTACAATAAATTGTTTTTTAATGTAACTCTTGTTTAGATTGTTTTTCTGTCAGCAATCTGTATATATTTTTACTGGACCATTTGCAAGCCTGCTTCGAAGCTGATAACTACTCGACATGATATATACATATGTATATATATTTAAGCGCGGAAGCGTATCAGCTTGAGCTCAAAATAATAGCTTTAAATCAATTATCTCATTTGTAGCTTATTTATTAGCGTAACTTCATCAACTAATGCATCCATCCATTGTTCGGCTGCATTTGTTCGTACACTGCCTATTATAATCCTAACCTGTACTGAAGGGAAAGTTGATGTTTGAGCATCTCTGATAAAAAGCTATTTGGCCTCGCTCGGTCTCAACATCTGGACGTGCAGATACTAAAGAAATTGCTTAATCACCAACTATCCTCGCAAAATGGCTGTCCTAACAGAATACAATAGAGTTTTCACCTATCCTGCCGTGGTTGACTAAAGGGATTAACAAGTCATTAAGTAAACATATAATCATTTAGCAAATCCTATCAGACTATCATCTCTAAGATAACACAGGTACAAGGATGATACACGGCATAGAAACAAAGAAATTCCAATAAAATACATTTCTATCATATTATCAATTTTTTTTTTTGTTCTTAAAAAGTTTAGGTTGTTCAGTTGGTCTTAAAGTGTTCTAGGCTTATATACGATGAGAACTGAACTAATTGCAGGGTTCCTGTTTTTGAATGAGGTCCTAAGGATTCGATAGTGAAGTCAATGATGATCTTCGAACTGAAACAGCTCTCTTCCACACAATCTCGGAAAAGTCGATAAATAGAATTGTTTTCATTGGAAGACTCAGAAGAACCTGATCTCAACTAGCCAGTCTCAATAGTCAAATAGTTGAATGGTTAGTTTGTCATACACGCGCAATTCAAATTTGAGTCAACTTTTGCTTGCTTACCATTTACAGCACACGGTGTCAACAGATCGGCATGTGGCATCGGACATTCTCGTGCGGCTATCGGGACATCGCATCTTCCTACCCACTTTGTGGCATGGTCCTGGCTTTCCGCTTGCGTCGGTAAGGATTAATGAAGATGATTTTCAAGCCGAAAATTATTCTCTAACTAATATTTATCGAGTTCGAATTATGTAGATCGTTGGTATATATAGAAAACCTCGTTGTGTACGTGGCCTGCTGAAGGCTCGAAACATGATCTAAAAGCTTCCTATGTTTCGAGTTTTTCGCCCGGTATCGGCACTAAGCAATCCGTTAGACAGGGGGCTGAATCGTGCTTGAATCCGAATCGTTATTAAGTTTCCGAAGAGTGACGACCTCTTCGGTTAGTACAGATGTATATTGACAGATGTTTAGTCTTCTACTGACATACGCCCGATATATAATGCGCCCTAGAAGCTTCAGTAAATATGACTGTAACAATATCAGCACAGATCGCAAAGACCCTTTCATGAAAAACCAAAGACAAAGATAAGATTCACAAGGTATCCTTTCGTCCGAAATCGAGTATCCTTTATTTATCAGAATTTAGTTAATTTTACCAAAGGGACAGTAGACCTTGAACAATTTAAACCATTACAAACAAAAAACAAAATGAAAATACCTTTTTATCACTAGTATGTTTAAATGTTGTCCGAAGAGTTTATCGATAATCTCGTCATGGGGGAATTAGAAAACCTGCGAGCCACAATGCCAAGCTACAAATCTGAGTTCGCACCTTTCTGGTTAACTCAGTCGCGATATTGCAATCATTAATAAAGATTCAGAGGTGTTTGCGTTATCTAGGTATTGTTACTTTATTGACTCCGATGCTTCCGCCCGAGCTTGTAGGATGGTAGAGACCTATTTTCAAGTTGGCTTACATACGCTTTCCTGTAATTTTATTATCTGAGTTTTAAGCCAATACGATTCAGTGTTGCTGACTTGCAAAATATAGTCGTGCATTTCAATGCGCTATGATACTTTGGCTGTAAGCCACGATCAAACGCACCTCGTTTCCGCTAACAATCTTTTGTTATCATTAACATCATGACAAAACAAATGGAGTCGACAATCCCAGAATTATCTTATCGGGATCATTCCAGTATTCATATAACTTTATAACCTAGTGTAGGTTACACTAGGTTTCAGCACGTTCCATACATCTTTACGTAATTGAGATCAGTACAGAAAAATCATATTTAACCTATAGGCCGTTTCACGATTAATGAAAAATTTCAAATTAAATGCTTATGCTTCAGTGTCGCTTTTTTTTTATAAGCTAGCTAACTTATGAAATTCATGAAAAAAAAATATATATATATGTATACATATATTGAACAGAAAGAGAAAGACACGCTAATTTTTTGAGAGTTTTAGAATTCGCCACCAAAAAATAGAAGTTGAAGAACAGAATGTCACTGAAAAAATGAGACAAAGTAATCGAACATTTCGCAAAATAATCTGCGAACACACACACCACTGACAATTGCTAAGGGTTATTACTTCCGAAACTCGTGGTTACCAAGGGCGTAGAACTGCAACCTTGAAAAATATCTTCTTGTCACAGGCACCCTTAGAGCATCTTATTGGTTATATTTTGGCATCCGCGCTATAGCGTACACATAAAGGTGTAAATGTGATGTCTCAAAAACATATTCTCATTTTTTATAAATACGTTTTTCTAATATTTTTATATATTTTATATAAAAGTAATCTTTTTAAATTTTTCAAAGGTTCTGATCATGCGAGTTTGGCCGTTCGGAAAGAGATTAAATTAATAGCTTAATAACATAATAACACCTAAGCCTAGCAATAAGGCAAACAAAAACATATTAGATACAGTGACAAAGCTTCGAAAACTCTAGAAAAAAACTTCGCGAAAATCATGTTTTACGTGGTTGTCAGAAGCCTGAAAGCATCTCGACAGAGAGTCAATAGCTGCGAGCGGGAATTATAGTTATGACGGAGGTGACAGCTTTCCCAGCGGCTATACTCTACTTTTGCATACAAAAGCTTTTTATTTTTGCAGAAAAGAGAAAATATCGTGTTCCCATCAGACTTAGCCTTTATATAGTTGTCGCGATGGTGTGGGACTCGCGTTTCCGAGGTTTCCGACAATTCGAAAACATTTAGTTAGAAAAATTTATTACACACACCGTATTAGGCGAACAAGGTGCTCATGAAGAGATACTGCACCTCCCAAGGGTCCGTGGTAGCTTTGTGGGCTAACTTCCTCCTATGTGGTGATCCTACTTGAAGCCCGAAGCCTCCATGGAATGACAAATAGATGTTGCCGGCAGGTAATAATCACAGGCAGATTTCGCTTTTTGATTGGAAACATGCTGCCGTATCTACATATTAAGTAGAAGGTGTTTTAGCTCATCTGGGCAAGCGCTAGCAGACACCTGCCTGTCTTCGACATTCGTTTAAAGTAAAAAAAAAGATAATTTGGCTATCTCCAAGATGTTTTCAATGATGATTCAAAAACACCAGAAGAAAACAATCACTATCTCAATGAAAATTTCTCTCCTTTACTTAAATGTCTAAGCGTGTCCATCTAAGGACTAGTTCTCTATTAGCACTATTTTCAAAGGACAGCGATCTTGTGGCTTTTGTTGACGAAAAGAACGAGCTACGATCGGCCTTTTGTGTATTCCATTTAGTTTAGTCTTCAGGGGTCAATGGTTTGTCGTATTCAATTAAGAAAGTAGATTCCAACAATTTGCTCATACGACTGTTTTTATGCATTATAATATTAATATGTGATGCTTAATGCACGGGTTGGTGTTGGTGTTCTAATTCGATTAAAAATCCTGTCAATTTTATATCTGTAGACGTCTGCAAATTCGGTAACGACAAAATACGGTTTCTTGTTTAATGTTATTTTGTAGCTTTGTAAAGGTCCATTGAGACTGTATAATACTTTACAATGAGTCAGAGCGTTGCTTCGAAATGCTTGCTAGATTAACTTAAAAAAGTACTTAAATTTTATAAAAACTCCGCTAGAAATATTCAGTATCTTCCGTACAAAACATGTTAAATTATTCAACATCCCCGGAAAGATTATGACTGAATAACGTTGCTGCTTCAGCATATTATAAGCCTAAAGACAAACTTTAGTCTGCAGTCTTACAATATAAAACCCTACGACCGATTCAAACACCCTCGTATCAAAAATCACCTACTTTTATAACGTCGCCATCTGTAGCGATGGAGAATGCTCATATGTAACAATCGAACTCATTTTTAAACTACAAAGAGAGTCCGCTGCATAGCATGATATCGAATAAGTGTAACACCCTTTGTATAGACAAGTGGTTCGGCAACTATACTAGTAGATGGTATTATATATCTGTATATACACAATTATATATTTACAGTGTACATTTTCCGTACATCGTAGTTTACTTGCTAACCAATAACCTGCTTAGGACGTTTTGTGAGAATCGGTATTAATCTGTTTCATTAATGCCCAAATTAGGGTTCCTTCTAGGATCGTTTTTGTATGCTTAAATTTCTGAAACCAAATAGTGATTAACCAGATGCCAAACCATAGGTTATCCGAAGCCATCTGTCGAGCGTCACTAGTTTTCCGTATTACAACTGTTACCACTTGCCCCATTAACGACGTCCTGTACTTCATCTCGCTTGTGAGTCATTGTCCTCAATTTTTTCGTCCTCTGTCTGCTTATTTTCGCTGTCGTCCGTACTATCGATCCCCAAGATAGCACTGACAAGGTTGGGAATGAACTGGGGATCAAATTTAGCTAGGGTTCGCGCAAGCTGCGGATTGCGGACGGCCAGACGTAAAAGGTTTTGCATGTGCGTAGGTAGAATTTCTTTGTCGATTGGTTCATTCAGCGCAACTGTTCCGTCTGGTTTGGGTCCGGCTAGTATCCGCATAATGTTGAGAATGAGCCCCGGTTCGTCATGAACCAGCGTTGGGATTGGGTGAGTCCGTAACAAAGGCAGCAGTTCATCTAAGCTGACTTTGCTGGAACGGTTTGATGAAACGGGGTGGGCCTTAGACGACATTAGCGGTGCTTTGCCTACGTCTCGATTGGCAGCCACGGGTGCTCGGATCGGGCTAATCTGGCCTAACGTCAGGGGCATTGATACGATTTGTTCCTCGGGCATTTTCGGATCTGTATTCTTCGGATAGTTCACCGGAAGTTGCAGCTCCTGGAGACCAAAAAGAGACTTACTTTCTCACGCTATTAGGGATTGTTCCAGCTAAAGTTAAAAACGATTTCCTTAAACTATAATCTTCTAGCTTAACTTGTAAGCAAACTACTCACTGGTGATGATTCAGAGAAGATGTTCACGTGTGCTACTGTATTTAATAAACAAGTCTTATGCTTTTAAATTGACTATAAATGCTATGTAATGTAGTGTCCTCGAAACGTCCTGTAAAACGATGTCAATATGAAACGATCCGTCAAAAAGAGTTTGCAAAAATGAAGAATCTCGAACATATTATTATCCTTTCTCCTTTTAGACGTCCGCTATGCTGACAATAAGACAAGGGGGTTAGGGATGCTAGTAATAATCTGGAGCACTATGTCTACCGATCTAAAATGAAACTGGAATATCTAATATAACTTGCCAGTGGTTATCCACTGGTGAAAAAGGCGGGCACCTAAAAACCACCGAAGGTGTGAGTAGGATGCATGAGAAAAAAATGTCACTCCTGTACGCCATCTAGAATATGTGTATACGTAAAACAATAAATTTAGTTTTCCGGTTTTAGGGCAGAAATTAAATTTACTACTCACATCTCGAAGTTGGTCAATTTCTTGTTTGGTACCAACGACCAGAGGTACGGGTCGATATTCAATGGGAAGTTTTTTCGTAATCTGACTCATTGTCATCATCATCTGAGGCATGATCAGGAAATCGTCTGCTTCTGAAACGTACAAAATACATTGTTTGTAAGAGACCAATGGTGACACAAAACATTGTACTGTTTGAATCTGCAAACGGCAAATGTGCGCGGAGTTAGTTTACGCAGTACCCTAAATAGGCCTTATCTGTGTCGTATCATTGCAGATGATATTGGAGACTGGACAATAAAGCATAGATCCTGAGCAATAATACTCGCAGTTCTTCAGACTCCTCTATATTTCAGCGCTTGCCGCGTTACGCACTTAGCCCAGCTGTGTCGTCCTTTCCGATGACAGCCATCGGCGCCGAATTGGCCGTTTGTAATATTGTCCTTCGGAGAAAGGCCGGAATGCGGAAACCTTCACAGAAGCCGGCCAAGATACAGGTCCAAATAACCATGGGAGTCACAACATCCAAATTCATTTTGGCTCCGCTTAGCCGTCTGAAACAGGATTCGTTAAGATTATGTAATAGATTAAATACACAAATACACCAACTGAAAGTAAAAAATGATATATATACCTAGCGGACAAGCATTATCAAGCACATTATATA